AAAAAAAAAAAAATTTTAATTACACTTATCTTTAGTTTACTGGCCCTACACAATTACATTTAATTAATGCTCACTGAAGCATTAAGTTAATTAATTGAATGAACTCATGTACAGAAAACGTATAAATACAACTCCTTACTAATACCTACAACTTTCTAAGGGAGTCCTTGCTTATGTAGTTTTTGATGATTTTTAAGTAACTTGACCAATCTAACATCAAGTAAAGTTGTTTAATTGTGATCATGTTTATCTAAAAATGTCAGTGAATTTTATATCAAAATTTAGGAACCTAATTTGCCTAGAAGATAGATGACAAACACCTTCAGACTCACATTTCAGTTTTATTAATTGTATTATGTTTAATTTAATTTAAGACATTCTTTATTTGGAACATCTGTAGAGGTAAATGGAGGTTTCCAGTAAGATGTAATAATACCACGGTTTTTATTTCACAAAATACACCATCACTTCCTTCTAAAGAAATTAATTTGAGAGTGAACATGTGTATAAATCACCTTAGTTCTTTTAGCTGAGTTATAGTGGCCCAGAAGTTTCACTAAATAATGTGTGACAATAATAAAGAATACTGACAGAAGTTATTTCCAAATTTAATAATTATATTGTTTTAGATGCTTTTATTTCTTGTAACTGAAAATAAAACACCATAAATCTGGCAGGTAAATTTTCTATAAAACTGATCTTAAAATAGAAAACGGAATAATTTTATTATGTTAATATTTTTTACCCTTCTATGGGAGAGAGGAACTAAGCCACGACTTCCCACGTTTTCAATAATGAAAAGAAAATATTGCAGTAACCAAAAAGTTGAATTCTGGCACCATTTTTACAGTTGCAGAAAATTGCTTGTACATTTAACTTTTAAAATAAAAACAGTATTGTGAACATTGCTGCAAAGGGAACCAAACAAAAATAACCTGTCAAAGGAATTCTACACCTCCTTTAAGACTTACTTCATTGCTACATCTCAATTTTGATCATGTAAAATCTATTTTTAAGCCAATGATATTCTTAAAAAGTTTTGAAAAAAAGAAACTTTTAAATAAATTAACATGACATTTATTTTTCTTTTAGTAGTCAGTCTAATTGAAATCAGCCCGTTTTTGAAATCAGGGTATCATATGATGAGGTATTAGTTGAAGAAAACAATTACCTCCTCCATCTTACACTCTGCCCTGTTTAAAAGTCTCAGCGAAGAGAAGGGAGGAGGAACCCAACCTGAGCTGAGTCAGTGGAAGCATTTTTACATCTAAGAATCACACGCAACATTCAGATACACCATCAGACAATTGAGCTACAAATCATCCATCAGTATTTAAGCAATTTTATGTAATAAAAATAATAGATTAGAAATGAAGAGCTCTCACGTACTTTTTATTTTATTAAATTGTCTTTTGTCCTGACTCTGCCATATATTTATCACAAGTCACCCTCTAGGTCTTGTTTCGTCCTCCACCGTATGATCTCTAACATTATTTCTAGCTTTGTCATCAATGATAGTATGAGTCTTAAAATGTTGAGGTACCAAAAAAAAGACATGGGTCCTCCTCAGATAAAACCAAAAATCTGTGTCTAAATAAAACTGGATGACCACATGAAAAAAATTGTCCATGAAGTAATAAACATAGATATTTTTTAAAGGCCTTGTCTTAGATTTAAAAAAAAACTGTGAGATTGAATCAAGAGATTTACAAAATGGGGGTTAATTCTGGGCTTAGCATTTTATGAGGGACTTTGCAAATTTGAATCAATCTAGAGGGAGGGGAACGGTCAGAGCAGTATCATTGTTGATAATAAATAGTTCTAGGACCTTAGTTAAACATAATTTTTGAATTCCTCTGTTTTGACTGAAATCCCACTTTCTCCATGTAGCCTTCTAGAAATTCATGAAGAAACATGAGTAATCTTGTCTAGACGCCAATTCTCCAAATAAGTATAGCTCACGACCTAACTTTCCATCACCATTTCCTTGCTTTCCCAATAGTTCTGTAAGTATTTTCTGAGATCCTGCTTTGCGCAAGGCGCTCAGCTAGTGAACCCTTCCTTTATTTGCTCAATACTTGTTCACTGCGTTCCTTGCGGATGTTAACATCAATGTACTCTCAGATTTTGAACTTCTGGAGGGACTATGTCTGCTCTCACTGCTCTTTGGCCAACCCAAGTTCAGGCTAATGAAAAGAACTTAAGAAATGCTCTTAGCTGATAGCCATTTTGAATGATGTGTCCCTCTGACTTAAACACTTTGTGGAGACTATTAGATAATCTTCTTATTCACAGAGTTTGGTATATAATTATATTTATAGGTCCCCGGCATATGTTAGGTGCTCAAAAATGTTAATAGAATGGATATAGGTGCTGAGTAAGATTTGATAAAGATGATGATGAAGGTTAAGAGAATTTCATGTGAGATATGAGGTGGCTCCTACAAGAGTAGGAACACCTGCTGCCCCTCTCACACTACTTGGAATTCTCAAACACGAATCTGACTCCAAACTAAAAATATCAGGCACTTGGAAGCTGCATTTAAGTATCGATACATTAGTCATTGTATGAAACTTCAATTTCATTGGCAATCGTAAAAATAGGTTACTATGCAAATTCCAGTGCTTTTGCTAATTGTAAGCAAAAGAAGTAGTCCAGTGGGATGTCAGTAGGTATCAGTTGGAGAGTGAAGATATTTCTTTTTGGTAATTTGTTTCTAGATGTGTTGTTTCCCTTTCCTCAGATAAACCCTCAGAGAGCACTGACTTTTTCCGTGCCCTACAGAGAGATTAGTGAAGGCATTATCATACAGTGACAGGTTGGGTTCCAATGTGTTTCTCGTTAACTTCTCTGTCCTTCCCTCTGTGAGAAACTGGAAAATTTATCAGATTTTCATACAGGGAGGTGAATTTCTGCTGAGGATGCAGCACGATGTCTTTTACTCTCCCAAGTGCAATTACAGCTGTGCTTCCACAGCAGTACTTCATCTTACCATAGGGCTCTCTTTGTAGGATGGATGCATTCCATAACCTGTTTCCATACTTTGACACAGGTCATACATTTATAATTTTTAAAGTTCACTAGTTGTCCTACATTCTCCTCAATAAAGGGCCCCTGAGAGTAAGTGTAACTATATACTAGAATATTAAATGTACCAGAAGAATATACAAAGGCCTCCCTAATAGTCACCATCCTAATGGAGCCTGGGACAGAATGAGTTTAAATTTTAGAAACAAAAACCAGCCTAAAAGTTGTACGTTCTCAGTCTATTCTTTTTTTGCATAAAGGCTGCATTATGAAGGGATGACAACATGTTTTCTGTTTAAGTAATGAAAGAATAACAGTCATCGCAATGACGACTATAAATCCCCTCTGAGGCCAGCAGTTCCCGTAAATTATGGTTAGGAGGGAAAGTCATGCCCATTT